CCCATGAGGGACCGGGGGAGGGAGGGCGGGTCAGGGCACCGGGGCAGCTGCTCCAGGACGTGAGCCCTGCCAGCTCTGCACAGCAGCAGGGCCTGGCCTGGCCACCAGCAGAGCCAACGACATTTTAAGGATTCCCAGGTGGGTTTTCACTCTGGACCAGCCAACAGGGCCTGGACAGAAGCAGCATCCTAGGAAAGCCCACCGGCAGGAGGTACCCCACTCCATCAGCACAGGACTCGTGGGACCCCAACCAAGGCCCAGCCCAACCAAGGGTCTCTGGAGCGACGCTGGCCGAGGCTCACCCTTCGTTCCACAGCGCCAGGATGTACTTTTTCACCAAGTCAATGATGTTGTCCAGCCAGACCCAGAAAGAGAAGCCTTTGCCAGCCATGTTCTCCTGAGGAAGAGGGCAGAGAGGCTGTGAGCGCGGCCTGGAGGAAGGCAACAGCCAAGGGAAGGTGCTTAGGGGAAGAGAGGGAGTTGTACCTTGCAGAACTTGGCCCAGGTGATCTGACAGCCGGAGTAGTTCACACCTGGCCCTGGCAGAGAACATGAGCACCAACATTTAGAGAGCACAGTTCACCATTTCCAAGGAGCAACTCGAGGTTTGTGGTGTTTGGGAGAAAACCAAGCGACTGGAAATCACAGCTCCCCTCCCGAACACCAGCATCTTGCCCCTGCACTGCATTTACAGACAGGGAGCCGCCCCAAGGGACAGCAGCACAGGCAGGACACCCACGCCGCCCTACCTAGGAGTTTCTCTGCCAGCGTTGTCAGCTGCTCGATGCTGAGGCCGCGTTTCGTGGTGGAGGAGAACTGCCAGCTCAGCACCTCTGCTACCTGGTCCCAGGTCCCGATGGGGGGCTTGGTGAAGAAGTTCACGTTCTGCACGAGGAGAAAAACCTCAGCCCTGAGCAGGACATGGGACAGAAGCAGGGCAGGTCCTGCCCCAGCCCTGCTCCCAGGCCACAGCCTCGCTCCCCCTGCCTGCAGCCTGCACCGCTGCTCTGCCAGCTGCCCCCACGGCACCGGGCCCTACCTTGGGGTTGTTGGTCAGCATGTTGTACCACAGGATGGACGCCCAGGCGTTGGGCATCTGGCAGATGTTGGAGATGACCACCACGGGCAGCGAGTGGGTCTGCAAAGACAGGATGCGACCACAGGCTGGGACATCTCCCAGGGCTCCTCTGCACCCAGGCCCACGGCAGCGACAGGCAGTGACCCACCGCTCACCTCCAGGTCGATCTTCAGCCCCTGGTGATACACCTCTGTCTCGAAGGTGATGAGGTGCAGCTCCTCGGTGACTATCAGCGAGGCCTAGGGCGGAGAAGGACGCAGTGAGCACGCAGGGGACACCTGCCCTCGGCCGCCAGACCCAGCGCTGCTGCTCAGGCCTGGGTGGGGAGGGCTGGTCCGGCAGCTGCCGACACGCCAGAGGGTGCCTGCGGACACCCCCTCCCGGGGCTGGGCTCCCGCTTCCCCTGGGGGCTGAGCCCCCCAGCACTTACATCGCAGTTGGCTCTGCCTCCGTTACCGCACCGCTGCTCCCGCAGGGTCTGCCGAGAGAAGGAACGGGCTGAAGAGACACCGCGACGGCACGTGGCCTCAACGGGAGCAGCCCGAGAGCTCGTGGGACCTACCAGGTGCTTGAACTCTGCCGAGAGGCTGCCGTTGTTCGACTCCTCCATGTTCATGACCTTGGTGTTTGTCCCCAGGATGTTAAACTTCCGGGACCTCGAAAGAGGAAAGAGAGCGTGGCTGACATGGCCCTCTCAGAGCAAACATGCAGTAGGATGTTTGCCAGGATTAAAAGCAGAAGCAAGCAAGAAAAAATAAATTAAAAATTACTGCACTTACCCCCGAAGTGCTGCAACATCCCCAGAGTCCCTAGAAAAGGGGAGAGAGACACCCGGTCATGGCCGTGACCTTCCCACCCTGATGCAGACAAGCTGGTGTGCAGGGCTGGCTGCATCACAACACGGAGCCCCACAGGCCCCCCAGGCTGCCCCCCGCTTGGGAACGAACCCTTGGGACCCAGCACCACCCTCCCCTTCTACTGGGGGTCACGCTGGGCCTTGGCGCAGCGATGGAGCCTGACCCAACGGCAGCAGGAACACGGTCCACTCCAGAAAGCCCACCCCACGCCACCGGGAGCAGAGCACAGGACTCACTTGTCAATGCAGACTTTAATTTTCAGCTGATAGTTCAGCTCTGGAAACTTGACCAACAACCTGCAAAGAGTCAGCAGACGCAGAGCGTGACCGTCCCGCCCAGAGGAACAACTCCAGCTCAACACAGCGTCGGGCACAGACGGCAGAGCCGCAGTGCCATGCGCATCCCGCAGCGGGCAGCGCCACAGCTCACGGGGACGCGGCATTACCCAGCCCCTCCAGCATCCCCGCGCCCACCTGCACGCAGCCCTGCGACACGTCAGCCCCAGCACCCGTCCCCAGAACTGGGAGGTGCTGATGCTCCCCGGAGCACCCCAAGGGCGGCTCGTTTTGGCCGCTGGCTGCCCACAGCGGGCAGAGATCGGCTCTGAGCAAAC